ATTGAATGAATTGATGAGCAAATTTTAACATTGACATGACAGTTGAATTGTCACAACAAATATGTATTGTAAGGCACTACCCACTGAATGGGAATTTCTTGCTCAATTTGACGTCATATCATCTCATTTTGATCTTGCTAATGTGACCTCTATCTTCTGGCTTTCTCCTTCTATATTTTGGATAGGAGACATTTTTTGTTCATATTTAAATTTAATTTAAACCGAAGGAAAAAAAAAATCAATGGAGTTTTTGTGACCTCCGTCCCGGAGACCTCCTTGGATCAAAAAGAAATATATTTATCCAAGTACGCTAGGAGTTATTCCCTTGTTTAAATTTGATTTAATATCAGTGCAGGGTACCCCCGAGACCTCCGTGAAATCAAAATGAAATATACTTATCCAAGTACCCTGGGTAATGTAGTTTCAGAATATATATGGTTTTGGGGGTCTATTCCAAACAATAGGAGGAGTTCGATAACAGACAGACAGATAGAGGCTACGACTTTAAATATATATATAGATATGATAAGTACTTATATTTTTATTAACAGATATGTTTTACGATAGAATACAGGGGAAGAATATGAATGAAAGTTATAAGTAATGTGGAAAGTGGCGCCCGTTAGCACCAAGACAGGCTTGGGTCCTTATTTCGTTTCTGAAAACCGCCATAAGTGGTTCGCTTGGAATAGAATGAATAGATTTGTTATCGCTGCTTTCAAGTGTGCGGCCGATCTCGTTACACTGCAGATTTTGCTACTCCATATTTATAAAATTCCGGTGGATTTAAATCTGGCGAGCGTTGGAGGGGGGGGGTGTACACACGTCTTTTGGAAATAACGCGATCTGCAAAAATGTTCTCCAAATACTGCACGGATCTGTGAGATGTGTGGGCAGTAGCACCGTCCTTTTGAATCCATGAGTCATTGATTCCGTCGCTTGTTATCTGCCCGAAAAAGGCGGGAAGAATCTCCGAGCAATGGCGCTCACTGTTTATTGTACCCTTAAGGAAAATAAGGCCATCAATAGGGCATCTGGAAACCGCAACCCACACTTCAACCCTGGGACCATGTAGGGGTGTTCGGTGTAAGGGTCATTGTAGGACCACAATCTTCTGTTTTTTCGAATTAACATAAACCGGGAGATGGGACCATGGTTTATGGTAAAAAAAAAATGTCACATTCAGCACATTAGCAGCACCCTGTAATTATCATCATCATCACACACACACACACATACATACATACATACATACATACGCAAATTCAAATTATACAACAACAAGCATTCATTGGATAATGAATCAACACTGCTTTGTAATAGACAATTTATAAATCGCAGCTCTGCGGCAATTTTATAATCGCTATATTTTCATGTAGTCGATTTTGTGCACTTTTCGGAGAATCGGATCCCAAGTGCCTTCTCAGCTTGGTAAATATTTTTCAGGAATTATCAGCTTCTAATTGGTCATTAAACACACAAGTGGGCGTTACAATCCAGCCACGCACAATATATTTTTCCAGCGCGTGACTAAGTCAAGTTTCCCGCCAAGGTGCTGGGAGCCTGTCACGTGATTACATTATCTATAAATAGCAAACACGAGTTTGCCTTTTTCTCTTTTTTTTTTTTTCTCTATTCTTGCTGCAAAATGTAGACACAGAAAATTATCGTCTCGACCATAACGATCAGACATTAAATAATATTTCACGCATTCACGTACGTACGAACTCTTACGAACTTTTCCAAAATACGAACATTCACCAAAGAACAAACACAAATATTCAACCACAAACACAATGTTAACTGTCTATGTGCTTTGTAATTACTTTGTTTAATACATGTATTTGTTTATATATATATATATATATATATATATATATATATCGGTCTTGTTTGTTTGTCTTCTTTATCTTTAATTGGACTTAATTCAAGTCAAGCATTCTCTTGTAGCTGGACCTTCTTTTAGCGGGAAATTTAAACGCACGTGTTTTCTTTTCATCTTCACAAAAGTCGTCCCCACCCCGGTCGTCTACAATCTTCTTCGATAAATTGGTCAAATCATCTGCAACAGTGTAATCATTTTCATGATCAGTTCTTGTATTACCATTATTATGTATAGGAAAAATTTTAATTTTTGTCTGACAGCCTTGTGAGCAGTCCCAAGATCTTGCTGCTGCTATAATTTTCGCAATGATTTTCTTGGACTCACTCCAAAATATCCAACACTTTCTCCTCCATAATGTTTGGTATCTTCCACTGATCGTCTTTTCATGAAATTTATCAACAAACTTATGAACGGCTTTGCAATGTGGAACAGGTGTATTTGAAAATTTATCAGCAAAACGCTCTCACAACAAATCTGTGAATCTACCACATTCTCGTAATACGGGTTCGACGAGAAATACTCGTTCTTCAGTTGATATTATTAGAAAATAATATTAGAATATCCACAGTAACTTTCCGAACACCATATATATATATACTAGAAGTAGAGCCCGGCGTTGCCCGGGAATGTAACAGTAAGAGATAGATCAATTATCGACCATCATAAAGACTGAAAAATAAAATTGACAAAGATTATTGTTTAAGGTTGACGGACACGCATGTCTTAATTAGTTTTTTTGTTTTTGTTTTTTTTTACGAATTGGTCAAACCCAAACTCAAACAAAAACATTGTTTTCAATCGTTATGATTCTACCGATTGAATAGAATTTTTTTTATAAACAATTGTCTTGTAAATGGAATTTTTAAAGCATTCTGAATGTAAATAAAGAAAAAAGTGTGCAAGACAATAAGAAACACTACCTGCCAAAAAAGTGAAGTTTTGTTGAAATCGGTTGAAAAATGTAGGAAATCCGATCCCATATATAAACGAACACACACACACACACACACACACACACACACACACACACACACACACTCGATATGAGTTGTCCCCCTTTCATTCTCGACAGCGACGCCTCTTAATCGTGTTTTCAAATTGATTTCGTGCAAAAACAATTGTGTTTTTCCAATTTTTGGCGCTGTTAGAACCACCGCAAGGTAATTTTACGTCGTCCTGTGAAGTTTTGTTGAAATCGGTTGAAAAATAGGAAATCCGATCCAATATATAAACGTACACACACACACACACAAATCTGCGTTTTATAATAAGTAAGATATATATATATATATATATATATATATGTGTGTGTGTGTGTGTGTGTGTGTGTGTGTGTGTGTGTGTGTGTGTGTGTTTCAAACAATAAAAAATATTAAAAAATTAAAATTTTAAGACACACTGGGTTGTATATTAATATTGTTTTGTTTTATTATTGTTATATATAGCTTTGTTATATTATTTCAATTAGGTTACCCGACCAGTTTCGACCAGCATGGTCATCATCAGGCGAAAACATACCTGCTTGTTAGTAGCAGTGAACTACTGACCGTTTCTAAAGAAAGTGAACATTATCTGTAGTTTTCATTTATTTATTTTTTTTATCGTTAATTTTGGTCAGACCTTCTGTTGGTCAAACGGCCTCTTTCAGGTTGTTTTTAAGATAGAGATTGGAAGATTCCTGACTTTAAGAATTACCTCCTTGACAGTTTTATTGCTTGCTGGGAATGTGATGTGTGTATTAAGTGTATGTTATCTTTTAGTTCATTAGGAGTGTGTGTGATGTGTGTATTTTTTGTGAGTGTGTGTATAAGTATGAGACCTCAACACTTCTGCAAGTATGTTTTTCTTGTGTGGATGAGAAAGGTGGTTATATATTAATTTATGTGGTTATATATTAATTCTATCTATGTTGTTAAATTTGTGATTAAACCCGTCTGGATGTAATGTTTTGAGGCGCAAAATCCATTTGTCTTCACGTTCCTCTAGTTTTTTTTTCTAAGGTTATCTTTTCCGTCTATTTCTATTTTGTCAATTATAGTGAATTTTGCATGCCTTTAAAATCATGTTTTTCTAGGCGGAAATGTTGTACTACAGGTAATAATCTTTCGCGGGAAACTGACTTGATCCGATTCGGATAATGATTAATTCAGTAGTGAAAGAGCCATTCAGATTTTCCCACATAATTTTTCTGGAATAGTGTGGATTCTAATAGTTAAATTATGTTAGGACTTCTACAGTTAGAGTTGTAGATTTTGAAAGTCGATTTAGTGACTGAGCTAGTGAACGAATTGGTGTGTCTAATGTGGTTACAACATAGGCTCCTTTTGTCGTTACATGGTTGTTTTTATTTTTGGTCTATCAAGGGTTACCTTATCTGAAATTTAGTTACTACCTATAATTTCCTTAAGGTTCTTAGATCTACGATATGGTAGAAGGCCGGGTTCCTCAATGTTTTTTTTAGGTTTGGTTTGTGATATAGTATTTCCCAACGATATATATATATATATATATATATATATATATGTGTGTGTGTGTGTGTGTGTGTGTGTGTGTGTGTGTGTGTGTACACACAGAGGGGCAAAAGTTGCAAACCATAGGAAATGAAGTTTTCAAAAACTGTCAAATACTCTCTTTGCTCATAAAATATACATCCTTAAGATAAAATAAAAAACGTTACTTCCCAAAAGGCTTTGATTCGAATCCTATAACTCGAGAATGTTTTTTTGTTTTTGTTTTTGTTGTAGAGTAGCTAGCACCCCTTCAGAAACTCTATCAGATGGCCTGGCTCATAGCCTTGAATAGTCTATGATTAAGGACTTCAGCAGTTGATTAATAAATAATTTGATACTAAGCTGTTTAATATTCGGACTGATCTTACTTCGTTTGGCTATACAGCATTTGACCCTCCTCTATTCCTTGTAAGTTGTCTTGTTAATTGTTTTGTAACTTATTGTTATGTGTTTTTCTGTATGTATCCGTTAACACCGGATTCATGGTACTGAATAAATATATTAAACACTTATCCTTCTCTGTGTATCATTCACCTCGACGGTACAACAATTTTTTGTTTTTGTTTTTTTTTTTCAGTTAAGTTCCCTCTTTCCAAAGGCCTATCTTACGGCCAAATCACGTTGAAACACCTGTTCCCGTAGAAAACACTGAAGTTAAGCTACCTCGAGCCTGGTCGATACCGAAATGGGTGATCACTTGGGAATACCAGCTTGGATGTGCGGGTGGTGTAAATAGTTAATGGCTCGAAAATTTTAATCGGAGAGCTGAGTTTCAGTTCCCGTTGAGTTGGTTATACTCACTAACGTGAAAATATCCTTAAGAGAGGTATGAATACACCACTTCTACCCCCAGCTATGTATTAATTAATAAGACTTTTACCACTAAACCATTATTATTAAAAAAATATTATTATTAAAAAAATCTCAATCTAAAAATATTTTTTAGTTTTAAATAACCTAAAAGTATTGATAAGCCATAGAAAATGACCCCCTCAAATTGTGCAAGGCCCAAGAGACACTTGAGGTAGAGCGCTACAGAGTAAGAGGCATAATTCATGGGGGTATGGGGAGAAGATGATATTTATTCATAGAATTGAACAGGTTAAGTTTTCTAGCGATTTGGGAAGCATCCTCTTGGGAGACGGTTCCACAAAGCAGATATCGGTTTTTATGGATGGTATTTTAATAATTTGAACCGGGACAATATTGTTATTCCCCAGTCTCAGTCAGCTACTCATTTCTGCCAAATTCTTTGCTAACATGCTGATTACTTACTGCCAAATAAGAAATCAATATCCGACGAGATTTGTATTTTTTTTTAAGGAGCTTCACCCCAAGCAAAATGGGAGTGCCACTAGCATTCAAGGGGTTACAGAGGATTGAGAACAAGAGTAAAGAGGCGTGTTTAAGGGCAGGATACAAAGAAGAACGAGGGACAAGCTCAGGGTGTCAGATGTCGATTGACATTACACTTGAATATTTGATGACTATACTCATCGAGGGAGCAAGTAAGGGGAAGGGAGTTCCACAGACGGGAAGTGCAGGAGAAGAAACTGTTTCAGTAGAAGAGACAGTTACATTTAACCGTTTTGACAGTGAAAGGGTGAGACCGAAATGCCAGCCTGGTAGCACGTTTAAATTCATGTAGTCCGGGAACCAGCGCAAGTAGCCCATCAGAACAGTTGCCATGAAAATATTTGTAGAAAAGACAGAAGGAGGCCACAGCACGTCTGTGAGATAGCGATTGTAGACTAGATGCTAGATCGGGACCTATCACCTTACATATTCGTCTCTGGATTTTGTCGAGGACCTTGAGACGTACAACCAGGGCAGCAGACCATATTTGACAATATTCCATACAAGGACGGTTGGTTGATTTATAGGTTTGAAGAATGGACTCAGACAAAGAGTCATATTTCCTTGCAATAGACGAAGCTTGAACGAGATTTGCATGAGCGTCCATATTTTTCCCATTCCTCTTGTTTTGTCGCCATTGTAAAGATTGTTATTTTTAGATTCCGTGTACGCAAATAATAAGTTAACGAATGGATGAGAAAATATGAAACAAAGACGGTAAGATGAAAGGTAATGTGTTTTCTGGGTTAATGTGTGAAATACAGAAGACTAATTGCTCGGTTATAAAAATGTTTGATGGTCGATGTTGGCGTGCGTCTCGTTTCAAACCGGCTGCACAGTGGGTATTTATTAAAATGCAGGGTATGAACTCTTCTAACACGGTATCACTACCCAGGTATTTTCGCCCTCCAACTGGAGCGGGTATTTTAAACTGGGTTAGTGAAAGGGGTTTGCTTTAGCAGCTATTGTAACGTATTAAAATCAAACATATTAAACAAACTTTTTAGCTGCAGTGTTTGTCATGTCCGTCGTCGGACGAAAGGAATAGAATTATAGAAAAAAGGACACTTAACATCAGAGAGAGAGACAGCTGAAATCTCTAGGGCGCATAATGAGAAAAGAAGGCTTGGAAAATCTGACACTCACAGGACATATTGAAGCCAAGAAGAAAACAACACCTGCATAATAAGTTTGTGTCTGTGCCCAACCCTCTCCAGGCCGGTTTTGAATTCAGATTTTCCTTCTCCTAGACTGGTTGCCACCCAAGGCTATATAACCCAAAGGAGAGATAAACGGAGAAGGAGCTTCTGTAAATCGATGGCAGACCTAGATTTAGGAGAGTTAGCAACAAGCCAAGTTTTACTAAGAACTACGAAAGACAGGAAATTGTGGAGAGCCTTGATCACAAACCTTCTTGAAAAGACATGACACGTAGTAGGAGAAAATGAGCTTGTGAAAATGGACGGCAAATCAGGGTTTAGGAGAGATTTACTAAGAGCTGCAACGGACAGGAAATTGTGGAGAGCCATCATCTCCAACGTCATGAAGGGACACGACATAGAAGACGGAAAATAATCTGGTGTAAATGGATGGCAGAACAGAGATTAGGAGAGATAGCAAAAAACAGAATTTTCTAAGAGCTACAAAAAAGAGGAAATTGTGGAGAGCCGTGATCGCCAACCTCTTTAAGAGACATGACACACAGAAGAAGAAGCTTTGTGTAAATGGATGACAGAAAAGGGTGTTGGAGAGATAGCAAAAAGACAAAATTTACTCACGGCTATAAAAAACAGGAAATTGTGGAGAGCCATCATCGCCAACGTCATGAAAGGACACAACACGGAGAAGAAAAAAATTATCTGGTGGAAATGGCGGGCAGAACAGTGTTTAGGAGAAATAATAAAAATTACTAAGAGCTACAAAAAAAAAAGGAAATTGTGGAGAGCCATGCTCGCCAACCTTTTGAATGGACACGGTACATAGAAGAATAATTACGTCGCAGATGTAAAATCGTTTTTTTTCTGTTTTTTTTTTTTTTTCGTTAAGCATTTAAACATCTGCGAAATCTTTGAAACGAAATTGGAATTTATGGCACCGAAATCTACAGATACATCGCAAAGGATGCCTTCCAAAAATAAAATGTATTAAAAAGCAAATTTTGTCAGAAACAAAGGGAAAGATGGACATTCGTATCCGCAAGAAACGGGTAACTATGGGTAAACCGAGTTCTATAATCTTAGATGGCAACTGGTCTACCGCAGAAAGAAATAGCAACCTTTCTGCGGGAAAAAATCTGGCTTCGTCAGTCATGTATCGAAAGATACATGATCGTCTAAGCGTGTATCCCGCATGGCACATACCTGAGAAGAACTTAAATCAGGTTTAACATTACTTTTCAATGTTTTATATTAAACAAAATAAGCTAATATTGAGTGAAATATAATGGGAATGATTTTAAGGAAAAAGAAATAAATTATGTAATCTTAATGAAAATTCATTAAATTAAGTATGTCACGTATGCAAAACAAATAATGTAACGAGGATTTTTTAATCGCTGTTGCATGAGGATTCTTTCTCTTCTAATGTCATTATCAACTTTTTCTGTATTTTGTTTTGCTTTTGTTATTGAAATTTTTTTAAACGGAAGACACTTTTTAATTCTGCTTGCGTTATTGCAATCGTCATTGCTGAATGCTGGCTTTCTTTCCATGAAACTGACAACCTTTTCAATAGCTTTTTCAATTTCAGTCTAGGTTTCATCACAATCATGTTTTTAATTTCCTTGTTCATTGTGACAGTGTGAACGCTGGAGAATAGTTTCTTTGGAAGATTTTATATCATACAATGTTGACTTTTCCTATGTTGAACTCAGCCATTAGTTACAATGAACTTTCACCAGCGTCTTGTCTGTTTAAAATTTCCACTTTTTGCGATAACTCCAAAGTTGTTCTTTTCCTCTTATTCCCATCATCTTTTGCACGAATACAAGCCATTAGGGTGAAATAAGTATAAGCAATTATCCAAATTAACTTTACTGAAAAACAGAAATTTCAAATCAGTTCCATATCACACAAATAGTTCAAATATACACATCAAAATCATTTCCGGATAAGTCATTCCGGATATGAGGAATTCCGAATATGTATTTTCTATAGTTCTGAGAAGGGTCATTAACATTGGAATAGTTTTAGGACGAAATAAGACTTCTTTTCTTTTCTTTTTCGGATATAAATCAGAAGGGAAGACCAAGAACAACAAAACAATGATTGCTAGTAGAGCATTTTTGTAAAATTTTATAACTATGATCAAAAATCATTTAATTTTTTTGGCAACACTATAAAGTCTAGCCACAACAATAAAACTGAATTAACCCTGACCATAAAACTAGATTATATATACAGTTTTTAATAGTCAAGTTTGTTTTCGTTTGTTTTTTAATACGGCATTAACAATTGCCGTTAGTGTTATTTGTTACCAGTCTTTGGTATTCTTTGCTGCATCATAAAGTCAGTATACGAACCAGTAACAAACTTTTACCAAACAATTTTGTTATGCGTTTGAATATTTACTATACAGGTCGTCGTTGAAAATTTTTTCCATCTGAAAATGGGTGATGATGCAAAAAAAGGTGGCGATTCCATGGTTTAAGGTTTTTATCAGAATCCTTAAATGCTAGGATTATTATGAATAGGATTAAATAAAATATGGATCTGGGTTAAATACATTTATCTATATTATATACTTACATCGTATTTGTTCATAATCATATCTTCCTTTTGTTAGTTTAAACTGATGCTTCTTTTTTCATATAATATGCCCATTTTGCTAATATAGTTTATATACATATCTATATATGCATATGTTCATCTATCTATCTTGCTCTCTCTCTATCTATCTATCTATCTATCTATCTATCTATATATATATATATATATATATATATATATATATATATAGATATTTTTTTATTTTTTCAAAAGTTAATCTATTTATTCTTATTTGTGTGTGGTGCAGGGGGGATTTCTTCTGTGTTTGTTTGGGTTGACACACTCACATCTAACTAAAATGTATACACTCGTGTGTATGTGTGTATGCATGTGAGAGTGTCCTCCTAAAAAAACACAGAAGAAAATTGCCCCATCCACCCCCACACTAATAATCAAACACAAATAAGCAAAAATAGATTCACTTTGGAAAAAATTAAACCAGTTTGTCTGGTGATCGCAAAAGCGTGAAACCCGGAGCTGCAATCTACTTCCATGCAACTAAGTATATATATATATATATATATATATATATATATATATATATATATATATATGTGTGTGTGTGTGTGTGTGTGTGTGTGTGTGTG